ACTGTAGAGCAACTGCTCTGCAGATATTGCTCTTGTCTCTTGTGTAGAGGAGTAGCCCTAAAAAGCAAAAAACCCTAACCAATCTTGAATAATTTTTGTTATAAATTATTTAAAACCGTACATATTATAGGAAATTAAAAGAAACTCTGTACTTAGCCAATATTTTTGAATTGATAAATGCTTTTATACACATACAACTCCAGTATTTGAAACCTAACATGCAATTACTGTAATATGAAATTTAAGATTGATGTTTCTGACACATCCTAGTTTTAACTTATAAAAAGTCAAATGAAATCTTTGATTTATCATTTATAGTAAATAAAATAACAGTAATTTTAAACTTTTAATTACTGAGCTCATAATTATTATATTCAATAAACTCATTATGAACTATAAAAATTTGTCATGCCCAAACACATTCTAATTTCATATAATTAGAAACAATCCCAAAGGCTAATTTTGCCTTCCAGAGCACTGAATATAAACAAGAATGTATCATTTTTATACAGGGAATGGGCTTATCTACCTGTTCCTCCATTTCTCCCCATGCTTGTGCTTTATTTTAGGAGATGTGAAATAGTACAATATAAAATCACAATGTTCCACTGCTGATCTTTAGCTGATTTGACAAGTATAGTGTTCCTTCACAAGCAGACATGTACAAGGACTTCAATAATATTTCTCAGGAGAAGCAGCCTCATCAATAGCAGATAAGAAACCTACAGTTTCTGTTGTTTTCTCCTCAGGATCTCATGGAAAAGAGCTTAACATCTGTTCCAGGTGCAGAAGTTAACTTTGGATCCATAAATCACCAAGTCTGTTCCTTTCCTTTCAACCTCATTTCACCCTCAGTGGGCTGCCTGCAATGTTCAGGGAATGGATTCAAAACAAATGGCAGGAATCATGAATTTCAGTCTGAGCTGAGGAAAAGATGTGGCTGTAGCAAAAAACCCCACAGAGCTGTTCTGCAAGGTTGGCTTGTGGACAGGGAAGGCTGTGGTACACAGGGCAGGGATGATGTTGGCTGCCCCGCTGTGATCCCAACACCCCCCGGTACAGCAGGGAACGTGACTTGGCACCAGGGTGGAGGCTGCAGGGGATGAAGTGAAGCCCCTGAGCTGGGACAAACAGGAGCCACTGCTTACAGGGGTGTCCTGTCTCACACTCACAACAAGGTTTAGATTGGAAGGGACCTTAAAGATCATCTTGTTCTACACCCCTGCCATGGCTGGGGACACCTTCCACTGTCCCAGGTTGCTCAGAGCCCCATCCAACCTGGCCTTCAACACTTCCAGGGATGGGACATCCACAGCTTCCCTGGGCAACCTGTGCCAGGGCCTCACCACCCTCTCAGTAAAGAATTTCTTCCTAATATCTAAACTAAATCTACCCTTTTCAGTTTAAAGCCATTCCTCCTTGTTCTATCACTCTGTTCCCTCTCCCGCTATCGCTTTGGGCACCTGAAGCCGCTCTAAGGTCTCCTTGGAGCCTTCCCTTCTCTAGGCTGAACAGCTCCAACTCTCAGCCTGTCTCCATAGCAAGGGTGCTCCAGGCTCCTCCTGATCATCTCTGTGGCATCCCCTGGACTCACTCCTCCAGGTCTGTGTCCCTCTCACACTGGGGACCCCAGATCTGGAGTTTCAGTGTGTGGTTGTTGCTTTGCCAGCACAGCGCTTCTCCACTCACAACTCAAGATGGGGTGACCAGAGGGGCTCTGGATGTGGCCTTTGGGGACATGGTTTTGTGTTGGACTGGGCAGTGGTTAATGGTTGGGCTCATTGGTCTTACAGGTCTTTCCCAGCCATGATGATTCTTTTTAACCTCTTGTCCCTTTTCCCTGCACAGCCCTGGTCCCTCAGCCCTTGCACAGGCTCTGAGGGAAGGGTGGCAGTGGGAGGTGTTGCTCCCTTCTCCTCAGAGGGTGGAATGGAGCCTCTCCTAGCTTGATACCAGTCACTGCCCACAGGGAAACCCCTGGGAACGATTCCTTTCTGGCTTTCCCATATCCCACTGTCCCTAGGCAGTGTTTTCCCCTTTAGCTCCATGTCTGTGTGGTACTGTGGGGGGTAGTGAACATTAGTTGTGTTCCTCCATGATCCTTGAAGATTTTTTGCTGTGTTTTTCAATTTTTAATGTGTATTTTTAACCTGGCAGGTAGTAAGATGGGAGGCAGGCCTGTGATTATCATAGATTTATAGAATCGCTTAGGTTTGAAATTACTTGAAAACACTTCCCTGGGCAGCCTGTTCCAGTGCTTGACAACCCTTTCAGTAAAGGCATTTCTCCTAATTTCCAGTCTAAACCTCCCTTGACCCAACTTGAAGCCATTTTCTCTCATCCATACTGCTTGTTATCTGTAACAAGAGACTCACCTGGCTGCAGCCTCTGTGCTCTCAACTTGTGGAGGGCAATAAGGTCCCTCCTGAGCCTCCTCTTCTCCAGGCTGTCCATCCCCAGCTCCCTCAGCTGCTCCTCACAGCACCAGAGCCCTCAGCAGCTTCCTCACTGACATTTTGGGCGACCTGTGTCTTTGGCAACTCTATAATAGAATCACCACTAAAAGAAAAAGAAATCTTCATAAAGAGGTCAGATGAATGGTATCCACATGGGTCAAACGAAGATCTTTGTCCCCCAGTGTCCCATTTTTGTCCAAGACAAGAAAGAAAATGGCTCAGGGACGTGGTAGGAATGTGTTCAGTACAGCACCAGCTGCTTCAGGGACTTTCCACACTTCCAAGTGTGGCTTTCTGAGCCAGAAGCACTGCCCATGCCTTTGATTAACACTGATGTGCTTCTTTCAGATCCAGAATTGTGCAAAAGTGCTTCTAGGAGGAGTCTAGGCTTCCTCTGGCCATTTTCCTGGTTATTCTCACTTGGTGGCCCTTTATTTTTCAGAAGGAGAACAGGCACAGATGGTGCCTCAAATCCAGGTGTGCAATTTCTTTGATTTTTTGGGTTTAAATACTTGTCAGAGTCCTTCTCAGCTGCTGCTGACTTGAGAGATTTGTTTTCCTGTGGAAGTGACATTTTCTGAGCAAAAGCAGTGAGGCTGTCCTGAGACTAATCCTTTGAGCAGCATATAAATGGAGTGATTAATCTACTGGATGCACTTCTCTGTAATTACAAGTAATTACTTTAAAGTCAAATCTGCAAATGAGAATACCTCTCTGTACGGTAGGAGAAGATGTAAAATGCAGCTGAAGTGGCTATCTTTAAAATGACATTAAATCACTGATTGTTTTCAAAGACAGGAATAAAAAGATAAAATAGCAGTTTTAAAGGCGAACTTGCAAGTTATCCTGGCACCAAATATGATGAAGGGATGTTTTACAGTATAAACTTTTAGAGATTTTCAGTAATAAATTTTAATTAGGAAATAAAGTAGAAAACTCAATTTTTCTGCTGTCTAAAATTTAAATGAAAGGGTAAATGCTAAAGTATTGTTAAAACCCAACCCACTGATGTGTAGAAAAATCACTAACATGTACCAATATGGATAAAAATATATTGAAAATTACCTCTCTTGTGCCTATTTCGGTTTTATGCTTGAGCATGATTCAGCATTCTTGTGTCTTTTCAGTATATTGCCTTCCATTTCTGTTTAGAATCTATGACTGACTTTCCTAAAGTTGTTAATAAGCTTCTTTTCAAGTAATGCTTGCAATCTCTTCTATTTCTGTCATACCTCATTAAGGTGATCCTATACACATGTATGCTTAATTAAGGCTTTTCGTTAAAATAAGCCTTTAATCCAGAGGTGCTGGGCCTTAATTGAATCTCAGAGAAGATTAGTGTCGTCTCTTATTTTGGTTTTCACTTTTACTGTACTTCCTACTGTTTCTAAACTAAAATGCCTGTGTTAACCTTAACTGATACATGGACAGGAAGAAATTAAAATTCATACTGCAGTCTTCTGGAGAGTAATGTGCCTTAGTAATTGCCATTTCTTATTAAGTGCCACCTTTTACCAAGAGCCTCCACTTCAAATGCAAAAGGTTGCTTTAAACACTCCAAGGACATTAGCATAATGAACACGCTGCCTGTTTTGAAGGTAACTAATAAGTGACTAATGATACCTGGTTTTATCCATGTGTATAATTTTTAAATGTTAATTGTATGTTTAAATAGTGCTGACATCTTAGATCTGTCTCAAATGATTGACTTTTACAGAATCCTTTTTAAGAAGACTTAGGAAAAATGAGGATTTTTAGCCATAGTTTAGCTGCACTCAGCAGAGGTACTGTATGTTGCAGTAAATTTTAAAACCTTTTTGGAGGAGTAAGACACAGATTCAACATCTTCTAGAATTAAATGCATCAAAGAGCCAATCTATTTTCTTCTTGTAGAGCTGCAACTGGGCATGGTACTGCTAATTAGCAGAGGCAGGTGGCCTGCTGTCATCAATGGCAGGAGAGTAACTTTTCAGGAAGAGCTATTAAATTGTGTGGGCTGAATAAATCTGATACAGAAACAGCAGTGCTGGGGCAAAGGTTTGAAGCAAACTTTTTAGTATAGCAGCTGTAGTAAGCTTCACTGATATCGTCTTTACATCACGTCTTTACATCATGAAACATTGCTGCCTGTCACGTTAGTTGTGTTTAAAAAGTGTGAT